TAGTTTAAGAGCTAGAGCCCATTACACTGGGTTTTCTGTTTCCAGATCTCTATCAGCTACTTGGGAGACAGTGAGGAAAGCAACTAACCAAGAAATGCTGCTTTCCAAAGACTATTCACAACTGAGCTTTGATCGCTCTTGATAGTCGTCTTCTCAGCACTGCTTTAAATTAATTTAGAGTTAGAAACGAAGAGCTTTCTTTCTCATTTAGATCTGTGGACCTTCAAATCCATGAGCAAAAAACTCCTATTTTTCCTTCTTTAACATACCCTCATTCTCCTCTCTAGCTCTGTTCCTGAGGTTCAATACCTCCAAGTGAAAATGCCAGACAGGCAAAACAGAACATTGTGTACAAATGTCCAATATTGTGTACAATAATTCATTGAGACTAAACAGCAGATAAAAAGGTAAAAAAGAAGACAAATTAGTTCATAATTACAAGTGATGCCTTACAACTGGTCTACTTCCCTACTAAACATTTCCCCCCTTTTTTGTTGTTGACCCTATAGCTCTCAGATAACATCCACATAACATTCTGTTTTCAATCAAGCTAGGTAGTGTTTGAGGACATGACAGTATATATTTGTAAATCTTATTTCCAAATAATGACTATTGTGTAAGATAAACTAGAACTACCCTTTGATTTTCACATTTTTAAGTTCTGAATTGGGATCCAGTTCAAGATCTATGACTTCAGAGTTCTACCTAACAGAAAACACATAGTGATATGGTTTCCCACAACGGCATCTCTCTCTGCCCCACGAGAAAATCTGGTTTACCATAACCTCTAATGACTCCTTAGGTTAAGTGCTATAAATCTACTGTCAGAGGATTTAGCTAAGAAAAATAAAAAAAAAAAATAATGGAAACAATTCACAGTATTTGTGGGATAGGAAGAAATCAAGGTTTAAAAATTATGTATAAATAAAATCTCTTAAGATAGCGGGTTTTTTTGAAAGATAAAAAGAGCATCTCGTGAAGAAATCAATAAACTACAATCATGAGTCCTCCCCATCAAAACAAACGGTGGTGACATCATTCAGCTGATCTAGGTGGCTCCTAACTAATTATTTCAACAAACTTTGAAACTTCCATATTCAGCTGAAACACCTCTAGACTAGAAGTTTTGGGCAGCCAATGTCATTTCAGCATTAATACAAATCACAGGGAGATGTAGGCCATAGTGAAAAATCACAAAAGAATAATGTTATTTGACTAATAAGGAATACAAAAATTTTGAGTGAAAGAACTCAAAGATCTAATCTACAACTACTGTCATAAGCAGACCCTCTATGATTACCCCTCTAATAACTATGAACTTTTTCTGAGGGAGCCTGCATATCTTAGATTAAGGACTATCTTAAGAATTTAAAACTTAGTAAAAGTTCAGGCCAGAATTTCTGCAAAAGGACGAAATTACTTATGAACATGTATTTTTTAAGAAAAGAAGGGTTACAAAGGGTATATTTTTTACAGCTAGATGACGTTGCTTAAAGTACACATTGTAATGATCCTCTCTCATAGAAATCACTTCAAAGCATAATTCTCAACTGCTTTGCAACATTCAATCAGCTAGAGTTAACACAACATTCACCCAGGAAAAAATTAAATGACCCACAATTACCCAATGAATTTCATATTGTGTTAAGAATAATTATAGGGTAACTCCTTCCATGACACTGAGTTTAATTCAGAAAATAAAATCAGAAACATACTCCTTTCTAAGTGCTTTTTGATTCATTAAGCATCATTCTCAATCTCTCACCAATGATTAAGTACCTCAAACTAGTTTTTGTTTATAGATTTTAAAACTGTTTTATTACATGGAACTCTGTTAATGTATCTCTAAATAGCACTTTTAAGGCAGATGTGAAAAGATCCACTACAAAGATAAGCTAACAAACCATTTATATTCAAGACATAATTCACCAAAGAATGCAGTTTACAATCTTAAACAAATCACTGAGCTCTAAAGCCAACAAGCTTTTCTTTGATAAATCAGTGTATTAACTTTCTAATGTTTTCTATCAGTTTTACTTATTAGACATAGATAAGTCAGTTTTAATGAAAACCAGGTCTGAAAAGAGAATCTTGCTAAAGGTTAATACTGTCAGCTTTAGCACAGAGTTAGGCACCCAAATCTGAATTCTTTTGCTTCACAGATTGATATATATGAATTAATCAAGCTGGCCACATGAGGTCTCTGTCATTCCACAAAATGCAACTGCATTTTCGAAGTATCTTGCAAATCAGATAATTAATTTCTCATGAGGTATAAGCACTGAAAACGTTAGAGATCTAGTTTACTTCTAGTTTAAATTATTTCTAGTTTATTATTCTGGAATAATATATTCCACTGGAAAAAGGAGAAATGGGGATGAAACTGAAGCTAGGGATAATGACACTGAGCAAATTGTACCCCACTAACTAATGCATCTAAAACCAGGTGTTTCAATCTGGGGCTCACTAAGCTAGAATGAAATAATTTTTAAGTAGTAAAGCATAGATATTTGGCTACTTAAACAATGTATATAAATACCAAATTAGATTAAATTATAATATAGTGCTGGAATACTTGGAAATACATGTAGCTCCTCACTAAATATATAAACAAGTTTCATATCAGGGTTCTGATGTCGAAAGTGAGCAATGTGTCAGTCTTGGTCACGGATAAAATGAAGCCTATATTCTCCTGCAATCATTACCAGCAGTGCCTCATTAAAGCCCCAGGGTACAAATTTTGATTTACCTAGTCAATAACTTCCTAAATACAGTTTATGTCACTTAAGCAACACTAAACAGTTTGCTATGACTCAACCCCATTTAAACATGTTAGTGAAAAAAAAAAATTCTGTAAGTGAAGAAAAGGGAAAAGGTTCCACTTAAAGTGAGGAAAGATGAAATTAGAACAAGCATGTTTAGAAAACAACCAGTAGAGAGTCAGAGAAAAATAAGAACAAACAAAATCACTGAATTCAAGAACTGAGTTTCCTCCAAATATGGAATCTAAGGAATGGAAAAAAATGACCCAAAAAAGCACTATAAAAATAAATGGTGGGGCTTCCCTGGTGGCGCAGTGGTTGAGAGTTCGCCTGCCGATGCAGGGGACATGGGTTCGCGCTCCGGTCCGGGAGGATCCCACATGCCGTGGAGCGGCTGGGCCCCGTGAGCCATGGCCGCTAAGCCTGCACGTCCAGAGCCTGTGCTCTGCAACGGGAGAGGCCACAACAGTGAGAGGCCCACATACTGTGGAAAAAAAAAAAAAATGGTGGAGGGAAGCAGAATTTCATTTGGTTATGGTTTTTGAAGTGCCAGAATTCACAGTGAGCAAAACTAGAGCTTTTACATTTAGAAACTCTTATCAAGTTCTTTCCTGTCAACCTGTTTCCATGAAATGAGTTCAACAGGCTACAATATTAATATTTTATGTTCTTGACTGTCAAGGAAATCTTTTAATGAAACTGCCTAAGTATGTAGGTAGATTCTATTTGCTCACTTGTTAAGTCAACTGGTTATTCTGCAGCTACACAACTTGGTACTTACTGAATTATGTACTATAACTTTCACAAGGTAAGAAACAAATCTAATTGTTTAATACTGATCGCTTTGGGATGCTTGGAAAGCCAAGCAGCCCAAGATTCAAACCTAGAAGTAGGACAAATATACTTCTGTCCTTCCCCCAAAGACGTGAAACCATGCAATAATGACAGACTGAAGAGTGACCTCAAAGTCTCATTCCTAGACATGAGACTTTTCAAAAGTACAATTCAATTTCTTCTTTCTTTGGTGAGGCCTAATCTTGCTACTTGGGGACACAGTAAATTCTCTAAAGTCATTCACTTGGAAGAGCCACTGGACTGATGGACATTTATTATACTTAGCCTGCTTTAAGCATGGTGGGTATCAGTTGCATACAGCACACTTTTTGAGCAAATGTAAGTACTGGCCAGGTTTAAATTTCCTATGCTGCATTCCACAGCACCTCATGGAACAATACATACCACCACTCCTCACAAAAAAAGGAACAGTGGAAAAGCCCATCTGCCTTTCTTTTAGTTTAATAAAAAATATTTGCACCATTATTTTTCTTTTTCTCCATTAAAAAAGCCTGGTCTATGTGTTTAATGAAATGCCTGTCAGCTGTATTCCACTGGACAACTACAAACCATTATTCTTTAAAATATCAGTATATAGAAGCAGATGTAGGGAGCTAATGTGTATGAAAATAAACAAAAACGTAGCTCTGGAACCCATCCTCCTAAATGAAAATGCTACAAACAGATAGCACACAGAAGAAATTGAGGCCCTGGTCCTGCACAGCTCTAGCACGGGAAAGAG